AGAAGTTTTAAATTTTGATCACGCCTAACCTGTACATTTTTAAAAATGGCTTTTGTGTTCTGTAACACATCTAAGAAACTTTTGATCACTCCTGTCAGGAGTAAATGCTCTCATTTTGCCCTTTCTGAAGAAATTTTAGAATCAGATCATTAATTGCTGGGATTATGATTGGGGTTTTGTTGAATCTATAGATAGCATGCAAGTAACATTGACTTTGAGATATATATATATATATATATATATTTATTTATTTATTTGGCAGCTTTGTTTATAACCACAAAATTTTGAAAAGTAAATACCAAAACATATAGTAATTGTTGAATAAACTATTACCTATATTTCCACCATTAAAAAATAATGATAATGAAGGCAGTTTCCTTAAACTGTATCTAATGTTTGCCAACATTTATTACATTAAATAATCAAATGTAAGGGAGTATACTTCGCGTGCTATAAATAACAAGAAAACATGAACAAATCTTTTTTTGTAAAATTGAAACATGTGACTGACCAATAAACCAGTAAACCCTGAAATTGCTTTTCTGTAGATCTCGAGCAATGGGGTGGAAAGGATAGAGAATGACATTTCATTGAGGATAGTATTCTGTGGGGTTTTTGTGTGTATTTTTACTTTGGAGAAGCATATTGATTTTTTACACATAAAAACTGTAAACAAAAGTAAAGGACAAAAAACTTTAAAATTAAATGCAAACCAAATCAAATGAAATAACTATGCTTCGAATGAAAAACATAACCATGTTCAAAAGAAAATAAAAAGAAACCATTCTAAGTAACTTAACCATAGGCTTAATATAAACTCTTAGTCTAAAGGGGAACAGAGCTATAAGCAAATCTTCAGCTGTGTTATGTTGGCTTGTTGTATGTTTCAGGAGTCTTCATTTTTAGCGAAGTGCTCAAATGATTATTATACAGTATATTACATAGTTTGGTTATCACTGTTCTATAGCCTATAACTCTATGATAAGTAGAATTAAGGGAATATTTGAGTACTTTATTATTTTTCTGCTAAAAGACTGAGTCATGTCCTTAACAATGTATTTCAGAATGTGTTCTGGACCTACGTTGGAAACAGTTGTTTCCTCCCTACAGAAAACACATGTGATTATATTGCTAATGGTCTTAAGAGATAATCACTTAACAAGGTGACTCAGAAAATATTGAAGACATTTTTCTTTGGGGAATTCTAAAATATTAGCCAAGTGCCTTAAAAATAATTTGTTCCAAAAAAACTAGCCAGGCGAGGTGGCGGGCGCCTGTAGTCCCAGCTACTGGGGAGGCTGAGGCAGGAGAATGGCGTAAACCCGGGAGGCGGAACTTGCAGTGAACTGAGATCCGGCCACTGCACTCCAGCCTGGGCAACAGAGCGAGACTCCGTATCAAAAAAAAAAAAATAAATAAATAAATAAATAAAATAAAAATAAAAATAAAAAATAAAAAAAAAATAATTTGTTCCAGTCCCTTTGACTATAGAAGTTCACAAATTATGTCAAATTTGAAATAAAAGAAAGGCAAATAGCCTTCCTCATTGTGGTACTATGCGTCTTTCCACATGAAGAAACTACCACAGCTTTGCAGAGCTCTTTGAGTCTTTTATCAAAAGTCTAGAGATGGAACCATGTGTTATGTTGACACGGAGTTTATGAAGGAAGCTAGACGTTTTGTTTTAATTTCAGGTAATCAACTGACAAATTAAACTTTTTATTCTGGGAGAAATATTTCTACCCTTGTGTAAATGTGATGGAATTATCTCCTTAAGGACATCTGATGAGTAATCCTGTGACCATGTGGTTGAAGAATTGGAATTATTTTATGGTATTAATTTCAAATTTCTATTGGTAAAATGTTAAAGTACTCTCTGTTCCAAAGCAAAATTTAAAAAATCTTGTAGATATTAAGGAAATTTAGGGCAGACAAAAAAAATTAAATTTAATAGCCAGTTTCTTTATCCTGCCACCTCCCTTTTGTTCTTCCTTGTGTATTTCTCCAGACTGACCGTTGCAGTAAGCTAATGAATATCTTCAGAATTATTTAATCACTCTACCACATTTTCCAAGTTCACTGTATAGTGCTTCTCCACATGTGATCCAAATGTCCATCACCTTTACTTTATTTTATAAGCTTCTCTTCCTAAAGCATCTTCTCTACAGATCTTTGTCCTGTATTTCTTCTCTTCATTTTGTTGTCAGTCCCCAGGTCACCCACATAGAAAGCCGTTTCATCTGGTTAATCTCTAAAATAACACCCTTATATTAGACTTTGATATTTTTAATTTGAGATTTTCAGGAATGGATGTCTATGTTGGTCGATGTATTTTAATACTTTGTCAAAAGGAAAACAGGGTCTGATCAGTCTTCTGTGTTTTAGGCAAGAAGAGAGCCTATAATAGTCTCCAAAACACTTCTATCTTGTGTTGTTTGATTAGAAGGACTTTGGACAACAATTTCTTTGACTGAATCTGGGGTCAGAGTTGCAGACCCCCTGGAATATGAAAAGTCAATAATCTAGTTCCCAAAAGGCAGACAAGAAACTATTCCCAAGATGAACAAATGATGGGAATAGAGGTAAAGGTGAAAATGATGGTAAAGGTGAAAAATCCATTTATAACCCTTCAATTTGTGTCCTTTAAGGAAGAAAATATACCTTGTGCTTTTTCTGGTCTGCAGCATCTCTAAACTATTTGCCTTTATTTTCTCAAAATTATTTTAGGAACAGTGGAGTTACACAACTTTGTTCTCTTCAGTTCTTATTTTAATTCAATATGAACTTGGAAGAAGAATCTACAGACTATTTCATTTAATCCCTTCATGGTGTATAAAGTAAATAGATTAAGACTTAAATAGTTTGTCTGAGGCCATGTAGCTAGTTAGTAGCAGAATTCTGACAACATCCCAGACTTTTCTATCTCCACTGATATTTACAGTATTCTTTGCTTGTATAATAGCTAACCACTCACTAACTCCTGACCCCCTACAATGTGTCTGGTGCTGTGCTACATATAGGTGATATAAATTATCATTATGATATACTTTTGTTCCTCAAATACCACATAGTTCTATGTAATAGCAGACATATGAAAACAGTAAAAGGGGCCGGGTGCGGTGGCTTACGTCTATAATCCCAGCACTTTGGGAGGCTGAGGTGGGCAGATCATCTGAGGTCAGGAGTTTGAGACCAGCCTGGACAACATGGTGAAACCCCATCTCTACTAAAAATACAAAAAATTAGCTAGATATGGTGGCAGGTGCCTGTAATCCCAGCCACTCAGGAGGTTGAGGCAGGAGAATAGCTTGAGCCGGGGAGGCAGAGGTTGCAGTGAGCCGAGATCGTGCCATTGCACTTCAGCGTGGGTGACAGAGCAAGACTCTGTCTCAAAAAAAAAAAAAAAAAAAAAAGAAAAATAGTAAAAGGTGATATGTATTAAAGTTCAAAACTGGATAGAATTAAGGATAAAATGGTATAGATGGAATTTAGAAGTAATGTTATGCCTCATTTTAAATAAACCTAGATGTGTTATGGCAATACTCAATTGTGATAGGGAAAAAGATTGTATAACAGAGACTTGACATAGGCTAGCATTGCTAACTTAAATTTGTAAAATTAAAGCAATCAAACTTCACCTTAAATTCATGCTCTATTAAATAAAATGTTAACTGTTAAGGAAGGTGAAGTTTAATACTTGATGAAATTATCAGATAAATCTTTATGGAAAAAGAAAAATTTGAGACAGAATTTCAAGGAATAATGGAATTAGGAATGGTAGAGGGATTATAAACTATTATAATTGGGACACAACGAATATGTTAATAAAAACTTGAATACCTTATAAATTAAAATGCAATTTCAATGCAGTTCAAGACAGGGACATTACATATGTTTATGGGCTTCTGAAATAAATTACTTTTAACTAAAACTAATGAAACACAAATTTATATGAGAAGCTTAGATGTAAATTAAGTAGTGAAGTAGGCATTCAGATTTCTTTCTGCAGAAGTAGTGATATTTCCCCCAGGCACCTCTCTTAAGGTAGCTTGTCCTAATGGAATACTGTTTTGTCAGTAGCATGCAGTAGTCCTGTATAGGTGATAAGAGACCTCCATCTCCATATTGCTTTCAGCAATTTGCCCTAAAACAAATAATCTAAACTCTTTAATTCCTCATTTCTGTATGCAGTAATAGGACTAATAATAACTGCCCTGCCAATCTCATGGCGGTTGTGAAAACGAATATATACAATTTTTATTTATCAATTATATTACACCTCAATAAAGCTGGAGAAAAAGAGAAATGTACAGATTATGATTCAATGAAGATTCTATGAAGATATTTTTAGGGACAAAATCTGCAGTGTTGTCTGCAGCATTGACTTGGTTGTCTCCAAAGATTATAATAGCATTAATCATATTTTTCCTTGGGTTTAGATAACTATATGGTATGTGTGCAGTATGATTAATTGAATGCTTCATATGTACTGAATCTTTTTTCATGAACTAGACTGATTTAAAATGATGCAGTTAGCAGTTATTTAGGGTGTCATTGGAAAATTCTTGTATTTTATTTATACATTATGTACAAAAAACTGCCTTCTTCATACTTGTATCCAGATTACCTACATAATTGAAGAATGATGATGAACTGCTAATGTAGACAGAGAATGGAGATGAAACTAATTTCTTATATAACCACTGAAGAGAACACTGGTCATGGAGAGAAGAGCAGAATAAGAATTATAATCATGTTTAATTTTTCTTTCACTTGGAAATGACTTGAGTGGGTTCAACCATTACTAAGAAAAATAGAATTTGATTTGTGAAACAAAGAGATCTTTCAATTCACTGAAAGCAGATTGAAGAATCTCTTTGTTTCACAAATGTCTCTATTCTCTAGTGTCTAATATTAAAATATTATTTTATGGGGGTTGGCAATTAATATTATAAAATAAATGAATTATTAATAGTTAATAACATTTAATAACTCTCAAAAAAGATTCAAAATACACAAAGGCTTTAATTTTGTAACAAAAAAATGTGCAATTTTTTCCACAAATGGCAAAAAAGAATTGCTCACAAGAAACTATACATTGACTATAGACTTATTAAAATCCAGGTTATTGAGTATTAGTTATCTATTGCTGCACAAAAGATTGCACAAACTTGGTGGTTTAAGACAATATGCATTGATTATCACACAGTATCTGTGGGTCAGGAATCTGGACACAACTTGAGTCCTTTGCTTCATGATCTCTCACAAGACTGCAGGGAAGAATCTGCTTCCAGTCTCACATGGTTGCTGGCAGAATTCAGTTTCTTGCAGGCTGTTGGACTGAGGGCATCAGCTCTCTGTTGGCTATTGGCTGTTCTTTGCCACATGGGCTTTTCCACAGGGCATTTCACAACATGATAGCTTGCTTTATCAGAGCCAGTTGAGGGTCTCCTAGAAAGACAGAAATTACCATGTTATGTAATATAATCATAGAAGTGATATCTATCAGTTTTGTTGTATTTTATTGATTAGAAGCAAGTTCTAGGTCCTGCTCACTCTTGGGAGGGACTTACACAAGGGTGAGAATACCAAGAGGTTAGGATCACTGGGGGCCATCTTAGAGTCTGTTGAAAAAGAATGGATTAATTAGACATATTGCAGAGCAAAAAGAGAGGGTAAACTCAGATGCTCATTAACAATTCATATCCAATTAATTCTATAATCCAGAAGCAATTGGTGGGAATGGCTTAATAGAATTTCTAGTTAGCTATATAGTATCACAAACTAATAAGCACAAGGTACTAAGTACATTATTTTCTTCTTCTATGATTCTGCTCTGTCTCCAGTGCTGTCAGCTATGAAATGAGAGAGCCTCCCATCAGACCCTGGAAAAGATGTAAAGAGCTGTATTTCAGAAGAATATAGCAGAAGAATACAAATCTTAAAAAAATTTTTTTGAGTAATGTATTTCATCAGGAAATGCTATCAATTTTGTTACACTGGTAACAGATATCTATGGAAAATGAAATTCTCAACAGCACATTGCTAACATGTTCCCCCACAAAAACAGCCATGGTTACATAAAATAGAAATTCTTGCACATGATTAGCAATTTGCAAAATAGATTAAATGTGGCATTGATATAGTAAAGCCTTTGATAGCTGACAAAACTTTATCAGGTATCTAAAAGAGCTGTTCAAATTTCTAACCAGGTCGGAACACTAGCTATTACACTTCTTTAAACAATTACGCCCCAAATTAACATCTTATATGCAAAAACATTTTGTCTGTTTTGAAGACTAACAAAGACTGGAAAAGCATGAGAAAGATGAGTAGTTATCACTTCAACAGTGTTTGGATTATTGAGTTATGGTTAATGGATGGTCTTTAATAGGATTTACAAAGCTAGTATCATAGATGGTCAGGGAAATCCTCTTTCTAAACATTGTATAGTTAAGTCACAGAAGATGCTGTGGAAAATAGACCCAAATAGTGCCTATAAGTGTAGTTGGTATGAATTGGAGCACTATAAGCAGTGATAGAGCTGTGTGGAAGACAGAAGACAAACATCACACTTTTAAGTTTGCCAGTCTACCCTGGAATAAATTGATGTTATAAGCCTTGATGTTTGTATTTCTTCTCTACTGCTCTAAATGAGAATATAGGATGTATTTTGAGAGTACAGTAAATTGTAGGAGTTCCTCACTTGCATAAATGGATTGAACAGGGCCAGGCACAGTGGTTCACGCCTGTAATCCTGGCACTTTGGGAGGATGAGTGGGGAGAAGTGCCTGAGCTCAGGAGTTCAAGACCAGCCTGGGAAACATGGGAAGACCCTGTCTCTATGAATGAATGAATAACTAAATAAATAAATGGATTTAATGAATTCTGGACCTGTTGTATTTATCACATATCACGTATCATATCTTTATGTATGGTTAATACATTCTAAATAGAAGAGATTAATAAATGAATCAACAAGATTGGGTACCAGAACACCAAGTTGATAAGATATTATCCAAGCCACATGATTATAGAGAACATCCTCACATTTTGGTAGCAGCATAAAACAGACAAACATCTACATTATCACATTTTCCCTGAAAAAAACAGAACTTCACATGAGCTGAAATGAATGCTTGGTATCTTGATGAATCTCTGTCATTGTCCTTGGTATGTCCTCTAAAGTAAAAACAGGAAAATCCTCTTCTGAATACCTAATGAAGTCAGGTTACAGCAAAGTATTGTAGAAACTTATGTTCTCTAGTCTCTAAGACAGAATTGAAAGGTGGGAGGGGCTTGGCTAAAGGAATACTTTTTGGTACTGGAGAAAATGAAAAAGCAAAAACATGAGAATTCTGGGGTCCCGTGTGTAGCAAATATTTGTCTTGGATGACAGATTTTTTTTTCCAAATTCTGATTGTGTGGCTCCTATTTCAGGATGGGCTCTTTGAAGCTTTAAACATTAAACAGAGACTATATTCAGATACAAAGCAAGCCTGTGACCTTTGTCCAAGGATTCAGTTCAGTCTTGTAAATCAGAAATTCAAATGTCAAATCATTCATGATTTATTCAGCTTTGGATATGGGCATTTAGAAACACATTCTGTCAAAGTATAGAGGTGTATTTTTAGTCGTTTGAGGCATATTCTCTGAAGTCTATCCCATCTACAAAGATACATACATTTCCTTTATGTAATTTTAAATTATAAGAAAGGGGAACTTCTTTGACAGGACAGTTTATGAGAGTTAAGATGCTGAAAGGTCAGCAAAGTCTTTGATATGGGAAAGACCATGAATTTCTAGATCATGTTTCATATTGAGAGAGTGGCTCATTGTGAGAGTTATTCACTTAAACAGATTTATTCTATATTTTAATGTGCAAATTAGTATTCAATGTAGCTAAGAGACAGTTTCATGCTTGGAGCCATGAACAGGGAGGTTTGAAATCACCCTGTGAGGCAAAGTAGGGTCAATTAAGGGGGTTGCCATTTAGACAAGTCCCATAGATGGGATAAGGTTTTCTTTATGGTAAGCCTTTGGATAATATGAGAAGGTCGGTTGTGGACAGTAACCTCAAACTAAGGAACTGAAATAAATTTCTGAGCTTTATTGAGTATATTCAACAGAGACAGGAAACGGTCCAAGATACCCTATTCTTCCTTAGTGAGTTGAGCAAGGGAGTGGATCATATGTTCTCAGCTGACATTGACACAGTCTGAAGCCTATTGAAAGGGAATGAGGTAGGCTTCTTATCTGTGAGGGAATCTGAAATTTCAGTGAGTCCTTAGTCACCTAAGAAGGGTTGTCTTTTGTGAGGAACGAGGGGCAAGGTATAAATCCTTCCTTTTTAGAAAACAATACAAGGTATTACTCTAGACATAATTAGGAGATATTCAAAACAATCTTCATTTTGATCAGTATGTATTTATTTATTTGTAAATTTCTGTCAGGGTGGGGAAAAATATTGTTCAATACAGATTCCATCAGGATTGTAGCTAAGTCACAGAGAGCCTATGCAGTGTCCAAATATCCACATGCTGAGGTGAATTTCATCCTCAAGGTATTTATCTATGCATACCATCTTCCATGGAGATGCTAATAACTAACCGTGCAGGTTGTTGCCAAGTGTTCCCTAATTCTTGACCTTAAGGACTCTTTAGTATCAGCATTCTCTTAGCCACTTTGTGGCTCACTCAGATCTATCTATCTGCCTAAACATAACACTCAACCATTCTTATTCTGTGGTTCTGCCACTGCACCAAGCTCCACCTGGTAATGGGGACATTGATTCTGTTGTTTTCACATTCCCCAAGCTGATTTGGGGTTCTGTTGTCCCCTCTGCTGACTAGAGATTAGTCATGCGTGAACAGGAGAGAGGTAGTCTCAGAGTATGGGAGTCCTTCTTACGCACTGTAACAGGCACAGATTATTGTAGCTCAAAGAACAGAAATCCTAGCCAACAGTGGGTTAAATATCTCACACAACCAGAGGTCTGGACATGCAGACCAGGACTGGTATAGCAGCTTAGTTACACTGCCAAGAATTAATCTTCCTGCCCTATTTCCTCTTTGTCTTCCTCAGCTTTTGGCTTCTGTTATTGTGGTTGTCACTATTGTGCTTTTCATGTTCACAAGATGACTGCCACATCTCCATGTCACATCCACGGTCAAGGTGGGAAAAAGGAGTAGCACCAACCATGTTCTACTCAATCAGAAAAAGAAAACTTTCTCAGAAACTCCCCAGAAAAATTTCCTTTACCACATTGGGTTAGCCAACTACAAATGACTGGCACAAGAACTCACGGATATTTAAGTTCTCAGTTTTCTTCGCATTCTCTTCATCCCTCATAATCCCAGGAAACTTGATATAGTCTGTCTAGGACAGGTACTGACTTGGCTCATTGACTACCCGCTTACAGTCACATTCTCCATTGCTTTCCTCTACTGTGTAGGTTAGAGAGCTCTAAATGCTTAATTTCTCAGTTTCTCTTGGTTCTAAGGATGGTCATGTGACCTGGTTCTAGCCAATTGGATGTGTGTGTGTGTCTTCCTTTCCTGAATAAAAAAGGCAAAGGCTCACTAGGAAATGCTCTTTGTCATTCCCTTCTCTTCCTGTATGGAACACAGCTTTGATACCTGAAGGTACAACAAACATCTCATGACTATGAGGAGATGAAAATGGATACCGAGGATACCAAGCTGGTGGAACAAAAGGAATTAATTTGGAACAGATGGCACTATGGATTCATCGTATTGGACCTGTGTGATCTAATTCTGAACTTTTCTTTTCTTTTCTTTTTGAGACAGAGTCTCACTCTGTCGCCCAGGCTGGAGTGCAGTGGTGCAATCTCGGTTCACTGCAAGTGAACATTATCAGATTTGTGTTTCAGAAATACCACTATGATTACTGGGTTAAAAAAGAAATGGATCAGCAGGGCAAGATCAGAGACAAGGAGACATGAGGTCTCTCTCTTGAAGGCTTGACTTAACATATCTAAATTTCACTTTGTTATCAATAAAATAGATAATACCTACTTGTATGGTTGTTGTGAGGTTGAACTTAAGATAATGCATGTAGAACACCTGTCACATAGTTAGTAATTGTTAGATATTGTGGTAATTATTGGTTGTGTATAGGTTTATGACATGAGCAACTGGATGAATTCCCTGAGAGAAAACATGAGGAGCAAGTGAGAATAATGGCTGAATCATTACTTTGGTTACCTTTCCCCAGATTAAAATTTTAGGAGAATAGTAGAGATGTTTCTTCTCCAAAAGACACTGACACACATATACACATCCATGGCCTCCTTTCAAAAGGGTGTTCTCCTTTGGTCCTAAGAATTGCTAAGTCATTTGACTCCATTCCCAAGGTCACTAATTGGACTAAAGACTGATGTACAACCAAAAATGGACCAATCAGATTATTTCTCCAGAAAGTTTGGAAAATAAAAGTAACAGATATTAGTCAGTCTTAGTTTGTCTTTGAGTGAATAAGGTTGAAATTACTGTTTTCTACTATGTGCACACAGAAACAGATAAAGCCAATGCAAGAGAGAAGAAGAAAGTAGATCATAAGAGATCGTGTTACCACAGAGGAAAGGGAGAAGAGCTGCACTGGTTCATAACTTTTCAGTTCCTGGTTCCAGTTCATAATGAGGTTCAACCAGACTTCTTATCCTTAGGTCCATAAGATATACTTACATATACCCAATAAATTTTACTGTCTTAGCCTAATTTGGATGGGTTTCTGTGTATTTGTAACTATGCTGAGATATATTTCTAAATATGTGTCAAGGATTTTCTCCCTATAATTCCTTGTATCTCACATAGCCCTTCCCCATTTGGACAAATTATATGGAATCATTTTCTGACACAGCAAAATGTCTGACCCAATAAAAATGTCAAAGAAAAGAGATTGTTTTCTTGGTTTTGAATTTTGGAAGTTGGGACCTTTTAGGAGAATAGAGACAGCTCTGGAAAAGACAATAGATTGGAAGACCTATATAGTGATATAAAAACATGATTTCTTGCCTATATTAGTTAGGATTACATTTGGCTGCAAGTAGCAGAAGACTCTACAATTGTCTTAAACAAGTAGGAGTATATCAGTCTTATATGAAAAGTTCAGAATTAGGGCTGGGCGCGGTGGCTCACACCTGTAATCCCAGCACTTTGGGAGGCCGAAGCGGGCGGATCACGAGGTCAGGAGATGGAGACCATCCTGGCTAACATGGTGAAACCCCGTCTCTACTAAAAATACAAAAATTTAGCCAGGCGTGGTGGCGGGCGCCTGTAGTCCCAGCTACTCAGGAGGCTGAGGCAGGAGAATGGCGTGAACCTGGGAGGCGGAGTGTGCAGTGAACCAAGATCACACCACTGCACTCCAGCCTGAGCGACAAAGCAAGACTCTGTCTCAAAAAAAAAAAAAAAAAAAAAAAAAGCTTCTATAGTTCCCTTAGGATAAAGTCCAAATTTCTTTACAAGATATACAGCCTTTCTTGATTTAGGCAACCTCCATCTAACCAACCTTCACTCCATCCTCATCTCTTTCAGTCACTCTGTCCTAAGTTGCACAGATCATTTACAGTTCTTAACAGTTCAGAAAAGAAATGCATTTTCTACTCCTCTTGTACTCTCTCTTCTTTCTTCTTTCATCTTTCTTCCTCCTACTCTCTTCTTCTTTCTTCTTCCTTCTTTCTTTTCCTTTTTATTTCCTCCTCCTCCTTCCTCCTTCCTTCTTTCTTCTTCTTCTGACAAGGTGCCACTCTGCTGCCCACACTGGAGTGCAGTGGTGCAATCATACTTCACTGCATCACATCCTTGAACTCCTGGGCTCAAGCAATCCTCTTGCTTCGGCCTCCCAGTGTTGGAATTACAGGCATAAGCCACCATGCCTAGCCTTAGCAGTCCATTTCTAACCTCTTTACAACAATCTCCTTGCCATTCTCCCAGCTAACTTCTACACATTATTCACATTCAGGATTCAGCTTAGATGTTACCTTATTTAGAAGCTTCCCCTGATTGAATCGAGTGCCCTGTCTTTGTATCACTTTATCCTTTCTCCTGTATCACTCAATGCTTTTCTCCTGTACTTACCATACTATACTGCAATTTTTTTTTTGTTAACTTATTCTGTCTTTTGCACTGGATTGTAAAGTCCTTTAGTGGAGGAATTATGTCTGTCTCCATGCTGAATACTTTAAATCTATTGTAGTACTTGGTACATAGTAATTGCTTAACGAATATTTGTTAAATAAATGAGTCTTAAGTCTGGAAGAACTTGCAAAGCTATCTGGAAAGAAATAGATATTCATCATTTCTTGTTTAGTGAATAGATTATTCTGACAGCTATTCACCTTATCTCTATGCTTTTGGCCTTCAGTTTATAAAAATTAATATTTGAGAAAACATATCATAAAATAATATAATTAGAAAGTGATATAAAAATAAGCTAAAATTCTAAGACAAAGAAAGCTGACTGAAACAGTAATTTTGCTGGATGGACTGAAGGAGACAACAGCAAGGAACTGAATGTCTTTTCAGAGCTTACTAAATAGAATGTACTTTGCTGGTAAATCTCATTTAATCCTCACAGTCGTTCTTTCTGGTTGATACATTATGCCTGTATTAAAGATAAGGAAATTAAAGATCAGATTAGAGCAAAATAAGCTGAATGATCTCGTATCTAAGAAGCAAATGAAAGAAATAAAAATCAACCCTAGAGAGTATTAGGAAGAATATGTGAATGTAAACCATCCCTTACCTCAAAGGATCCTTTTTCTAGGTCTGGGCATCACCTTTTGAGCTTTCTCTCTCAACTGCATTGTATGTAGGGATACTTGCTTTCTTCCACCAAGATAAATTCCACTTCCTTACTCAAGTTCCTTCTTGAGCAAAACTTGCTTCATCAGATTTGTTTTCTGATTTAGGTAAACTTTTTCAAGTCTAGTAAAGCAACCTGCCCTCTCTTTCAGGGAACTGTCAGCAACACAAGCCGTGAATACCAACGCAAAACAGATTCTCACTGTAGATCACACAGGAAAAAATAAAATAAAAAGATAAAACCCTTAACAGTGGTAGTATTTAAATGACCATATACTGCTTAATAAGAAATCCTGGAGTCATTTTCAAGTTCCCCCATTTCCTACTTTTGTTAAGCTGGGTCAAGTCTCTTTAAACTTTCTCCGTTTTCTTGTCCATAAAGAGTATACTAGCAAGTCTTCTGCCTACCTCGGGACTTCTGTAAGGATCATACGAGATGTTGTATATGACAGCACTTCACAAACGTTTAGTAAAACGCTGCAAAATATTTGTAGCTGGCTATAAACAAGATGATGCAGATTGGGTTCTTGAGCGAACAAACCAAGATCGGTTGCTAGGAAGAGAAAGCCGAGCGTTGCTACGTGACGTCATCACCCCGCGCCACCCGCGACAGTTTCCGGGCAGGGATCACAGCCCCGTTCCGAGTCATGGGGATTTGGCGGCGTCTGCTGCTTTTTGGTGGGGTGTCGCTCCGGGCTGGTGGCGGGGCCACTGCCCCGCTTGGGAGAAGCCGAGCGATGGTTTGTCGGCGCCAGGTCCGTGGTGCTGCAGGGCAGGGGGAAGCGGGCTGACAGAGATGCTGGGCTGCAGGGCTGCCTCAGTTCCTGAGACCCCCAATGTGCTGAACGTGCCTACTTTTCAGGCAGACCCAGGCTGAGGCGTGGCGGGACTTGAAACACAACGTAGATGTGGTATTCTACATTGCTTTCTTGGTTTTGGGTTATTTAAGCAAATAGATAAAAGAAAAGCAAAACACGTGGAAGCCTTATCTCCGTAAAGAGGCAGCGTTTTTGCATTTTTAAACGTTCAGCGTATCCTTGTAGAAAAATTTCAATTTAAGCCATATGTCTTTACAATTGTTATCAGTAGAAGTAGGTAAATGTCTCCAAAGTGGAGATGAGCAGAATTAGAAAAGAAAGCCCTCTTAATTGCAAACCCCAGATTGTTTTTACTTTTACAATGTGATGATGGAGATGGCTTATTTAAAACGGCTTATTATTATTATTATTATTATTTTTTAAAGTTATCTGGCGCCGAGAGTGAGACCCTAAAACAAAGAAGAACACAAATCATGTCCCGAGGACTTCCAAAGCAGAAACCAATAGAAGGTGTTAAACAAGTTATAGTTGTGGCTTCTGGAAAGGGTGGAGTCGGAAAATCTACTACAGCAGGTATTATAGGATATTAATTCTATTCCTGATTCAGAACTTATGCCAACTGGTAGGTGCACACTATTAAAATTATAGTTTTGTGTTTAAAAAATGTATTTGTGAAGTTCCTAACATCTGATTCCTTAGTTTCAGGAGTTGGTAGCGGGTAGACGCTTAGATTTTGGAGTTAGACAAAACTAGGTACTAGCTGGGTCTCCTACCCCTTAACTCAGGAAAAAGTTGCCAGATTGTGCAGCAAATCTTCAGTTCACTTAACTGTAAAATGGAGATGATAACTTCTTTCATAAGATGGTTATTCAAATTGCACAAGCTAACCACTTAGCTTAGTGTTTACTAGTGTTCAATAATTGGTTGCTGTTATTTTTAAAACATCTAGTAACTTTTTTTTTTTTTTTTTTGAGATGGAGTCTCCCTCTGTCACCCAGGCTGGAGTGCAGTGGCGCAATCTCTGCTCGCTGCAAGCTCTGCCTCCCGGGTTCACTCCATTCTCCTGCCTCAGCCTCCCAAGTAGCTGGGACTACAGGCGCCCGCCACCATGCCCGGCTAATTTTTTTGTGTTTTTAGTAGAGACAGAGTTTCACCGTGTTACCCAGGATGGTCTCCATCTCCTGACCTCGTGATCCGCCCGTGTCAGCCTCCCAAAGTGCTGGGATTACAGGTGTGAACCACCTCGCCTGGCCTATTAGCTCATTTTTTCCCCATTTTTATCAGAAGGGAATTGTGGAAGAATTTGTCAGATGTTTTGAAAAAGTTAAGATTTACCAAATGTTGTATTTGTGGTAGATCCCTAATCCATTACTATTTGATAGACACCATATTGTTAAAAAAAGATTAATAATCTGTTCTTAATGAATTCATGCGCTATCCTGCACATTTTTCCTTTCTTTCCTAAAGATTTACAATTGATCTAGTTGCTTTTAAAATTTAGAAGCTCTTAGTTTTTGGTTCTAGAACCTACGTATTCCAGTTTCTTGAAAATTTGGAGTACACTTTCCAGTTTTCAGTGGTTTGAATCCTTTTACATGCTCTGTGATTACTTGAACTGGATAAGGATGGAAGGTGTTTTCATGATTGTAGCCATAAGTTCTTTGGGTTTTGTAATTTGTTGGGTCTGTAGGCTGGCACTTGTTTAAGAGTGTTTATTATTTTTAGTTGGAAGATGATCTGTTGCCATGAAATGTGAAAGCATTTAAACAGGAAAATGTATGAGAAAGTGTACATGTAACACTTAGTGGGTGCTTCAGTAAATGTCCCTTTCTCACTTTTTTCTGTTAACATTATGCCATCTGTCCCGAACAGCTGGCCCATACTTTTTCGTAACAGCTCAGTGAACATATCTAAATCTTAAAAATAGATTATTTTTATGTAACTCTATTGGTATTATTAATATATTTCCTTTACTTACATGTATTTATTCCTGCCTCAAACTACTTCAAAATACTTCCCATTTGAATATACATGCTAGAGCTGTTTCAGATTAGAATGATGACATTTGACTAATACAAATATGCTCAGTGATTCTGTTGTTTAAATGTAGGAAGAACCTAACTCTAAAATGAATTAGCCTCTGAAAGTTTCTGCCTTAAAGTTGGATTATGTGTAACCTATCTTGTACCTGAAATTCGGAATTTTATAACTTATAAAAATGAATTTATCAAGTCTATACCCTAGGCTAAGTATTTTATGTACAATATTTCATTTAATCCGGATCACAGTTATGAAGTAGGCATGGTTTTCATTTTATAGAAGAGAAAACAGACTTATGGGTAAAATAACCTACTCAATAGTACACAATAGAAGGTGGCAGAGCTGGGATTTGAACCAGGTCTGCCTGAAAAACTTATGCTCTTAACTAGTTTGAAGAAAATAACCCTGACATGGTTTATACCGTTGTTCTGTAGGGAAATGTGATTCACATTATGAGGGCCTATTTGTTGATCAGTTTTTGAATTGTGTTACTTTTGGAATTCTCTTCTCTGATGTAGCATATTCCTATTGCTGGGCTAAAGCTGGTTTTGGGACTACTGCTTTCTTTCTTTATGGGATTCATCTGGGATTCATTGGCATAAGCAGTTTGGGAACACATTTTACTCTCTTACGTTTTACACTTTTCCCTTCCCTCTGTGCACAGTAGTCCAGCCTTTCATATACATGAGTATTTATGAATTAGATACTTGGAACTCCTGTAATACCAGCATTTATTTTTAAAAGGCAGTAGGGGCAGGATGTGGTGGCTTATGCTTGTAATGCCAGCACTTTGGGAGGCTGAGGTGGGAGGATTGCTTGAGCTGGGGAGTTCGAGACCAGTCTGGGCAACATGGCAAGACCCTGTCTGTACAAAAGAAAAATTAGCTGGGTGTGGTGGTGTGCACCTGTGGTCCCAACTCCAACCTGGGGGACAGAGTATACTAATCATAAATGTAAGGCAATGAGATTGTGTACATTTTTAAAAATAAAAGGATAATTTTTCTATAAAATATGCTTTTGAAAATAATTGAATTATATATTCTGTTAACATGATTTAAAAAAACTAAGTGGATTATTTGAACAAAATTGTAACAGAAATGGATTTTTAAAAATGTTAGTTTTGGGGCATGCATTTATTATTGCATTTATTGGAAAATTACTTTTTTATTTTTCTTTTTACTTTGTGTGTTCCTCCATGTGCTTGCTCTTTACAATTAAGGGATATATGTTAAAAATTTATATGCTTAGGTTATTACATGAAAATATTAAAATTACATGAAATTATTAAAAATTACATGAAAATATTAAAAGATAAAATGAATTTTAATAGAAAGAAAGTTACTAAATTCAATGACTATTTTTGTTTCTTACAGTGAATCTTGCACTTGCACTAGCAGCGAATGATTCGGTAGGTGTTTATTAATAGAAATATTAATTTATTAAAATGTTTTTAAGGCAGTGATAAAGAGCATATTGGTGTTTTCTATTTACTCTTGTCAGAAGCTATAGTGTAGTTGTAGTGAGTTGCATATCTTTAAGGAGCTCAATGCTGCCATCACTACTGGTTACATTTAATAATAATAATGTATTTAAGTGTTGACCATATATTGTTTGTTATATATCCCACAAGAGGCTTTGATGTTCTTTATATCCTAAACCAATTTTGCCTTTATGATTTACAGAAGCATTATTCTGGGTTCAGTTTTTAAGTGTTAGGAATTAAGTTTTTTTAAGGGTAAAGATATTCTAAAAGTAGTGCATATCCGTTAAAACTATTCAAATGGAATACATGTGTAATATAAAACTGAAAGTTTATGCGTTCCTTTCAGTTCCAGAGAATTAACTTAGGTTATAGTTTTATGTATCTCCTGTCAGCTCTTCCTTTCTCCATATAAAAATCTAAAAAAGTGTACATATATGTGTGTGTGCATACATCTTTCCATGATGTGCCTCATTCTTAATGGCTGCTGGATTAATGGTCAATGGTAATATATTTAACCAGTTCTCATTTGATGAAATATTTAGGTTGGTTCCCATTTTTTCCCTACTCTAAATGATGCTATGGTGGAGTTCTTATATAGTATTCTTATATACTAAGTGATGACATTTTTGTAGGATAGACTCCTAGGAGTAAAACTACTAGGTCAAAAGATATTCCCACTTTAAATTCTACTCCTAAAAGTTTGCTTGTAAAAAATTTCAGTTCCATTCTTTCCCTTGTCAGAAGAAAAAAAAAATTCAGCTATAGTCTATGGGAGTATCCATTTTTCATAGTCTCATTATTGTTAGATGTTATCTTTTTAAATATTAAAAAATAAAAACATTGAACTTATTTGCAACTCCATAAATTATCAGCTACTTAATGAAAAGGCACACACGTATTTCAGAATCGATTTTAATTTCTCCTTCCTATTTTATAGAACACAGGCAAGAATCCATACCTATTTTATAGAATGCAGGCAAGAATCATTTAATATGTTTAACTGTGGCTATATTACTAACTTATTTTCTACCCTTACTATGTAACTTCAGTTCCTAATAAATAGCACATATGAAAAAATAATGTGTGGTACCTCTATAAGTATGATATCAATATATGGAGTCCAGAATCTGCCAGACCCCGGAACTAGACATAGTTATTCATGTCTTCTGATGCTTGGCTGTATATTTCTGAAAATTGGAAACTAATAGACAAGATTTATAATATT